TGAAAGCAGAGGTTTCCTAGGAATTGTCTGGGCTGGCAGCATTCCTTCAAACAGTAGTTTTATCAGGAGGATACCTGAAACATTTCAGCTGTTGCTTCGGCCCTAAGGAAACAGTGGGAACTCAGCCCAGGACTCTTGCCCTTTTATTGGTTGACCCAGGGCCACAAGGATACGTAGGGTAGCAGTTCATGCTGAATGCAACCTGCCAACCCCCCCCCCCCAAAAAGCACTGAAGACATTATTTTAAAACATTTTTTTAAAATCTCATTATAGAAACTAGATGGAAACAAGCTGGTGCCTGTATCCTGCCTTCCTTAAACTCAGTATTCCCCCCCCCCTTTTTTTTTTCTTTGCTATAAGGAATGTGAAGGCCTACCCTTTCCTGCATCTCATTCAAGTTAAATACAGTACCTCTTCCAAGGCAGGAGGATATCTGGGCAGAAAATGAATTCCAGCCAATTTCTAGCCATTTACTTTGTTTTAAAGAAAACCTCTTAATAGAGTGGGCCTACTATAGGGCAGGGGTGTTGGCAGGGAAGGGAATCATAACCAAAGCCCTACTCGTACTGTACATGCAGTGCAACTTAACCTTGGAACGCAACTGCAACTGCCATCTTGAAGATTTTGACCCCTCCCCTGCCGAGGATGCTGCTGTTATGGGGAGTGCCTCAGGCAACTAGATAACCCCATGAGAAAGCAATCACCACCACGACCACCACCAGCAGCACCGAATCCAAATAACCGCAGCAATCTCCTCTGTAGCTCCCTCCAATTGCAGTCAGACCCAGGAGAGCTCCCACACTATCCCGTGTGCTTCTTTGCCCTCTTTGCAAAACTCCACCTCCTGTTCACCCCACCCAGCTTAAGCCAATAGCAGCAAAGGCACAATTAGTCCCCGCCGCTGTATTGGCTCAGCTGGAAAAACTACAAAGAGAGCGATCCAATTGCAGGAGTTGAGGAAATATCCAATCCCACTCCCTGAAACAGCAGTTCCCTTTGAAAGGAGCGTGCTTTGTAATCAAAGCAGAACAGCTGCTTTTGTTGCTTAGGTGAAACACGAAACCTGAAATGTGTGCATCTTGCTCAAAACATGGAGTACTCAGAATAACTGTTCTCAAAACAGTTAACGTTCAGAATGCATTGCATGCCCCCTAGGAAATCGCCCTGAATGAATAAAATAGGAATACATAGGAAAAAAACAAAAAAGCATAGAGAACCTGCATTGGAAATTTAGATTATTGGATCTAAAGATATAGTACAGTAAGGGCTTGTCTAATAATGTTGCTTTTTATTACTGTATACTTCTATGAAAGATTTGTAGGTGGCATAGGCACTTTTATTTAAATATCAAAGAAAGGATTTATTGCTTTCTTAGTAGATAAGAAAAAGAGAGAAGAATAACATTTTATGACAAAGCTGTCCTATCCAGAAAATTTACAGTGGTTTTTGTTATTCCTACTTGAATTGAACTTATGGCATTATTCACTAGAAGGTGTATTAAGGAGAAATAATTACATTACATTACATTCAATAGACCAGTGTTTCTCAACCTTGACAACTTTAAGAGGTGTGGACTTCAACTTCCAGAATTTCCCAGCCAGCAGAGAAGGAGAATTTCTATTCCTGATGAAGACCTTAATAAACATGAAGAATTTAAAAACTGGAAAATGATACTAGTAGGAAACTGGAACAAGGTGTGCAAAGTGCAAGATTAAATAAGATTAACCAAAAGACAGCTTTGCTAAAAGCCAAGTGTAAAAATTCAGGTAGCAACAAAATATATACATCTTTAATTATGAAGAATCAATACCTTACAGGCTATTGAAATTGGATACAGGAGCAAAATTTTATTGAAGGCAGTAATATTATACATTATAGATTCAGTTAACTGACCATCTAAATTGTTGGCTATGGCTGTAAAAAAAAAAGAATGGCAATTTAATTTGTTTTAATTGAAACATGAGTAAAATATATTTAAGGATTATATTAAAAACAGGGAGCCTGTGATAATTTGCTGACAGTATATTGATTTTATTCTGAAACCTACTCAACACTGATAGTAATGTACAGGTATATTTGTAAAAGTTAACTGGTGAGATCAAATATTTAGGAATTATTCTCACTAAAGGCTTAAATGAATTATGAATTCCCTTTACATCAGCTTTGGATTTTTTTTCATTACATATCCTTTTTCCCAAAGGTTCTGAATTTCTTCACCCCTTCCAGGGTGAGACAGGCGGCCAACACCTGCAGACCCTGAGCATCCAGCTGCCTGGCCAGCTGGTTCCCAAAGCCAGAGTCACAGCTGGTGATGAAGATGCATTTCTCCATCAGGTTCTCCACCGTCTGTCTCTCCCAGAACCATCGCTGAAGGAAGTAAAGCCCCACCAGGGCAGCCAAATAGAGCCACATAACAAAATCTGCCAGGAAGAATGAAACAGAATAGAGGAACTAGATGTCCTTAAATCCAAGAGCAGATCAAATAAAATAACCTATCCTGATCTAGAGTAGAACATCAGATAATATTTCATCAAATCAGGCTTATCTCAAGATCATTTGTTGTTCAGTCTTAGAAGAATATGATATCCTTACTGCCCAATTTTTTAGCCACTAGCGCTTAACTCTACTGACTAACCAAATCAGTGAAGAAGACTAAGACTACATGACTAAGATTCTTTTTGAGTCTTAGAAGCCAGTTTGGTAGGCTTATAAATCTGGAAGAGACCATTTACAGTGGTACCTCGGTTCATGAACTTAATTCGTTCCACGACTCTGGTCACGACCCGAATCAAATTTCCCCATAAGGTTCAATGTAATTACAGTTAATCCATTCTGAACCATATATATATTTTTTTATAAACCATAAAAATATGAAACAAAATACAGTACGAAGAGAGAGAACGCTAACCTTGCTCAATGCGACTTCTAGCGTGGAGGACAGGAAGGCGGGTGGGGAGGCGGTTATTGCTTGGAGGGAGAGTCCCCCTCCCTACAGGAAGCCACGACCACGTGTCACGGGAGGGAAAATGGCCACGGATCCTGTTCGTGACCCGATCTGGCGTTCACGGAGGCAAAATTTTGCGAACGGAGCTGTTCGTGACCCGAATTGGTCGTGAACAGAAGCGTTCGTGACCCGAGGTACCACTGTATGTCATGAAGTCTAGCCCTTTCTTCCTCAAAGGACTCCAAATTAAATCAGTTAAAAAAGGGCAACCACCAAATTTAAGCTAACATTTAAACATATCCTGTTCATATGTTTAAATATTACTGTGGTAAATGTTAAAGATTTATAAATCTGTACATCATTTACAGATTTCCCTTACATCAATGTTTTCATCTGAAGGTCTTTGTCAATACAGTAAGTAGGTACTAGATTATCTCATCTGCCTGTTAAAAAGTTTTCTCAGGGTCTCTTCCTCACAGCAAACTAACCATGGCACAGAGACACTTCCTCACCATTGTTAAGAAACATCATCCTTCTGATTGTAAATGTTTTGACAGCGGCTAGAATTGTATTTGCTAAGAATTGGAAGAATGAA